CCCGAGCCAACCAGCCCCATGGGGCGCCCCCGCACACACACAGATGGGAAAGACCCAGCACCCCATTTCCTGCCCAGGCTGTTTTTGTAGGGACTACTTTATATCAAGAGGCGGGCAGAAGACAGCCAGAGCCAACAGCCCTGCCAGTCCAGGCCTGCCCGAGGTGCTAAGCAGGCAGCCCCACCATCCCAACCTGTCATTAGCCACTAAATATAGCGCCCGGGAATCCACCAGCTGCTACGTCTCCCGGTGGGTTAAACCCGTCATGTGACCCTTAACCCCCACCACCATCCACCTGTCCCGTAACCCTCTCCATCAGCCACCCCATCCCTTAACCCCCTCCATCATGCCCCCCCCTGCCCCCCCCACCCCCCCCAGCCAATCCCCAGCCCCCGCCGTGCCACCCTGGAGCAGTGGGTCGTGCAGGGATCCCCACCTAACCTGGCCCTCCCTTGCCAGGTGATCCAGCCCCTGCAGGGTGGGGTGCGGGGGCTGGGTATACGGGAGCTGAAGGAGTAACCCATGGACCATTGGGCCTCAGACTCTGTCTCCCCCTCCCCAATCTGCTTCCCTTATAAGCAGTTTCTCTACTTCCAAGGCCAAACTCTTTACTTGCTGCTTCCCAGAGGCCAATAAGGGATGAAGGGTCCCCATCCCCCCTGCCTGGCCAACAGAGGCCCCCATCACACCGGGAATGAATCCGCAGGGCAGAAAAGTGTGTCTGTGTGCAGCTGGCGCCCCCTGTTGGAGGGGATTGTGTGTGTGTGGGGGAAGGGGGTCCCCTGTTGCCCCCTGCAGGAGGGGCTGGGCCCTGCGCTGCATGTGTGTGAAAGAGCCATGTTGCCCCTGATGGCTGCAATCAGAACTAACCCCCTCCCCCTGTGTCCTGCCCCCTATAGTGTTCCTGGCTAGGGGAGATTCCGCAGAAGCTCAGGGGGCTCTCAGGTCAGATGGTTCACAGCCTGCTGCTGGTTGGAGCTTAAGCTCTCACAGCCCTGAAAAACTGAGCATTCCTGGGTTCCACAGCTGGCTCTTGGAAGGCAGTGTGGTCTAGTGGTTAGAGCAGGCGGGGAAGTTGGGTGACATCAGGACTTCTTCGGACTGGTCCTGTTCCCTGCAGAGTGACTTTGCATGTCCCTTCTCTGTGTCCCTGTTTTCCCCATCTCTAGAACCGGGAGCATGACTGATTTATTTGCTTGGCTGAGTTTTCCCCTGGGGCCAGCCTGCCGCCCACCCCAAGTGACCCGTCCTGTTTCCATTGCATGGTGAGCCAAGTTCCAGCGGGAATGTGGGTTTTAGTGTGTCTCATTTCCATGGCAAAACTCGAACTGTGGCCAATCCCCCCTTGGGACAGACAACCCCGGGGGAAAATTGGTGATTTTCTGCAAAATCTACGGGATGTTTTTTTGGGGTGGGGATTTTTTGTCTTTTTTTTTTAGACCTCAAAAAATGTTCTTTATGGATGTATCTTTTTTTGCTTTTTGTTGTTTCTTCCAATTGTCAACAACTGTAAAAGGTCAGGGATAGCGATGGGTTTGGTACAGCTGATTTCTCATTCCTCCCCCCGCCACACCACCGCCCCTTGCCTCAGTTTCCCACATAACAGAGCATAATGATCCTGGTCTGCCAAGGTAAAGTGCTTGGAGACCTGAGGATGAAATGCGGGCTGTTAATCCCTATGGGAATGTCTGAGATTATGACTAGATTTTATCCACACCAGGCCTGACGGGGCCCAGATCTCGGTGGCTAGATTATTTCAATAATCTATGCAGATCTGTAGGGGTGGGGAATGATTTTCAATGCTCAAAAGAGACGTCTTTGATGTTGGCCTTTTCCAAAGTTGTTGCCAGTGTTAAATGTAAAATGAAAGGTATGGAAACGTTCAAAAGGCACAAAATCGGCCCAAGGCTCAAACTGGAGCGGCCTTCTTTGGCCGAGTCCAAAGTATTTGCCAAATTGATCAACAATTTTTTTTTTTTTGTTAAAACTTTGGGTTTTGTCTACTTTTTTTCCAGGATTTTTTTTTAATTAAAGCATTTTTACATAGTTTCTTGGGCTATGGATGGTTTATTTCTTCTCTCCCTCCCCCTCCCCATTCCCCTCTTCTTCTTGTTCTGTTCTGTCCTATAGTGGCGCGTTTCTGAAAGATTCATTACTGGTGTCGAGACGGAAAAGTCAAATTTTTGGTAAAGGACATTACACATCCAGGTTTGATTCAGATTTAGTATTAGCAGGAGGCAATTTTGGAAACACATGTAAACTGCTAACAGAATGGAAATGCCCAGGGGAAGTTTCACCAGAACTGATTTAATGTTGGAAAGGGAACATTGATTTTTCTCATAATTTTTTTAGTGACAACTTTTTCTTCTTTTACACTGTCTGTCTATTCATCCCTCACCATTCATATCATCCATTCATCCCTATATGCCTTATCTATCTATCTATTCCCATCCACTTCATCTCTGCTATCTAGCTATCTATCTAGCTATCTATCTAGCTATCTATCCCCATCCACTTAATCTCTGTCTCTCTTTCTCTCCATCATGGAGTTTATCAAGACCCTTCTATGTAAAACCATTTCAATCCTTTCAGAAATGATTGATGAAAAATGTGGAGGCTTTTCCCTGCCAAACACTTTCCAACTCAACTGTAATTTTTTATGACAAATTTTTTCTTCTTCTTTGATTTCCATTTGAATTTACCTCCTTCCCTTCCCCTCCCCTCCGTAACCTCCATAGCAAGCTCTGATTGTCCAGATCAGTCATATGGTGAGAGTTTTTTTTTTTAAATCACAATTCCCCACAAACACAAATTTTCCATTTTGGGGGGAGAATTTTCCCAAAAAATAAACATTAAAGTCTTTACATTAAATCTAATATTGAAATTAACATTACAAGGTGAAAGGTTGACAGGAACAATTCGAAAGTTGTCCAAATCCATAATCAGCATGAAAGAAATAGCTGGAAATCTTTGCATCAACGGACACTTTAAATTTCACCACAACTTTCTTGTCCAAAGTGTTGGTTGAGTGTTTGAGTTACATAAATGGGAGCAATTAACACTGAATCCACAAAGCTCTGACACTTAACATCAGCTATAGGTTGACCCCTCTGGTTAAAACAGCAAGGGCATGTCTACACTAGGAAATTATTTGGAAATAACTAAATTTGAAATAATAACTCCTGAAATAACAAAATTGAAATAGCATTGCCCCACTATAGGGAATTAGTCCGAAGCAAGCTCCCCTTTTGTGAATGTGCTACCTCGATTTAGAGCCCCAGGAAGCACTGGGGAGTAATTACTTTCAATGGCGCTGGGG